TTAATGTCGGGTTTTTTTAAAACTCATAGTTAATGCCAAATTTTTGAGAAAGATATGATTAATGCCAGATTTTATAGAAACATATTATTAATACTGGATGTTTTTTTAGAAATCTATAATTAATAATCGGATTTTTGATGAAACGTATAATTAATGCCGGATATTTTGGAAACCTATAGTTAATGATCGGATTTTTGAGAAACCTATAATTAATGCTGAATTTTTTAGAAGCATACAAATAGTAACGAATTTTTAACAAACCTATAATTCAATTTTTTAGATACTTAAAATTAATGCCGGATTTTTGAGAAAACTATAATTAATAACGATTTTTTTGGAAAGCCAAAATTAATGTCGGGTTTATTAGAAAACTATTATTAATGCCCAATTATTTATAAACCTAAATTTAATTTCGGTTGTTTTTTTTTTTAAGAAAAAATCAATCAATGACAGATATTTTTTAAAAACCTATAATTAATTTTTTTTACAAACCTATAATTAATGCCGATTTTCTTTTAGAAACCTATAATTATGGCCGATTTTCTTTTAGAAAACCATAATTGATAACGTGCTTTATTAGAAACCAATATGTTTAAATAGCGATAGGAAGTAGATGACGGAAGTAGTTTTTGGTGAAACTAGATGCTTCTGCACCTTGGCGCTATCATCATAAAGGAAGCGATCAGCAAAGAAGAAATTAAATTCTTGGATGCGCGATAAAGCCGACAACGACGATCTATGTGTGTGTGTGTGTTATAATGATAGCTCATTACTTGTTTCCGAATATACCCGACTGCTAATGTAGCCAGCAGGCAGGCTGTTGCAAACGCCCGCTCAGACACTCTTGTGATGGTTCAACATCCACTGGTGTTCATACCGCAACTATGCTGAGTGGACCTTAATTACAGTTTATGGGAGAGATCACATAATCATATTGAACAAGGTCAGTATGCTCAATCCCTCGGCCACGATGACTTGTGACATCATACTAGCAGATTTCGAAATGTTTCATCCATCATAGTGTGTCTTATATCTTGCCCCACTCACAAAATCTATGGAGCTAACTAATTTGCCTATTCAACTTTAAAAATTAATAAAGAATATTTTAGTTATTCATGCAATTCTGGTTATCTTTATAAATGGGCACGTGGCCGATTGGTTAGAATGTTCGCATTCTGACCATGAGAGCCAGGTTCAAATCTCACCATCGTCGATTAATCAGGATGGAGACTTCCTGGTGTTACTGGTCCACCCAGCATAGTTGCAGTATGAACACCAGTGGGTGTTGAACTATCACACGTTTGCAACAGGTATATGTGTTATTAGTCTGGAGGGGGACGATCCCAGCGTGCGGCACCTATGGAAAGTGCCTGAAAAACTATACCACGGGTTGACAGAAGCCTTGTGAGTAAAATTGGGTAGACGGAACCTTAGGTCGATAGCTGAGCTAACACGAAGTTATAAGTCATCGTGACCGAGAGCTTGAGCGTGCTGGGCTTGTTCAGATTGTTGATCACACTAGATAACACGCTCTTTCCCAGAAACTGTAACTAAGGTCTGCTCAGCATAGTTGCAGTATAAACCACAGGTGGGCTCTGTAGGTGTTGAATAAACACGGATGTGCCTGATAAAACGTCTGCAATAGGGATTGGCTGGACGTCCTAGTAGACGGGTATCCTCAAATACGAGTGTCCAGCTATATCTACATATCTTTATAAATGAGCGATTATTTCGTTGACGGATTTTATAATAAAATTGCTTACTTATTCAAATAAAGACATTTTCTATCCTGAAATTGGTAACTAGCTTAACATTCAGATTGCAATAGGGAAAGTAATCGATGAGTAAAGGTAAGAAAATAACGTTGATGTTTTTAATATTGTAAATTCTTTGCTTTCATTTAATCACCACAGAGAATGGCTGATGCTAACCTCCATTTTGCGCCTTCTTAGACGCACGTTTTCCACTGACATGAAGCTTAGGGATTATATTGAATCATATGATCGCTCTACTGCTCGGAAAGTTGGTTCACTGTGTCGTGCTAGACAATTCTTCCCGCCAGTATCCTTCTTGCGCATTTATAAAACTATCATTCGTCCATGCCTTGAATATTGCTGCCATATCTGCTATATTGTTGTGATGTCCACCCTCTAAAGAGTGTATGTTGGACTATTCCGCCTACTATAAGATTAGTAGGAGAGAAGGCCCGGGCGGGGTCTGGGGTGTTGCGGAATAGTCGCACAGTTTATTCGACTGTCGAACTGCCTCGGCAGAGAGGAACTCGGACGAAGCTTTGCCGAAGGGCAAAGTTTCGTCCGGCGAGGTAGACAGACCCTGAACCCGTTCAGGCGGGTTCAAAGGGAATATTTTTGGCCGAGCCTACGGGCTCGGAGAACCCACAATAAACCAGCCTTGTGCCACATGCACCCTCGGTGGTGGGAGGGGGCTGTTAAATATTAACAGTCGAATAGATTGTTCTACCGAGGCTGTAACTGTTCCTATCTGCTGAAAAACTCTCTGCCTTTGGGCAGAGAGGAACCCGGACGAGGCTGTGCCGAAGGGCAGAGATTCGTTCGGGAAGGTAGACCGACCCGAACCCGTTTATACAGGTTCAACGTGGATTTTTTAGCTGAGCCTACGGGCTCGGATAACCCACGTTAAACTTGGCCTTGTGTCACATCTACCCTCGTGGCGAGGGGCTGCTAAATATTAACAGTCGAATAGATTGAACGCTGGGTCAACCGACACACACTAACTAGTCGTGTAATTCTCTTCTGTTGTACTTACTGTTTAATATATGATATATCTGCAACACTTGTTTTGTTGTTTCTTAACCAATTACTTGGTCACAACGTATATATTTAGAAAGCTTCGACAAAATCCTGACCTGACATCTCGACTTCAGTCACTTTCACACCGACGTGACGTGACTTCACTCTGTCTTTTCTAGAAATACTATCAGGACAATTTTTCTGATGAACTGTTTTCGCTTGTGCTTCGACTGAATGATTTTAAGCGTGTTACTATGTCAACAATTACGTCTCATCGTTTTAATGTTGAACTAGCTAGATGCAACCGTCAGTTCTATTCTAATAGTTTCTTTGTTCGCACTTCTCGCCTGTGGAACTCGTTTCCTATTTCTTGCTTCCCTGTTAAATTTTACAACAATTTAAATGCAACGTCAATTTCTGTCTTCCGGAATCTTTGTTTGGTTTGGTTTGGTTTACGGCATATCAACCTCAATGGGTCATATAATGCCGACAAAGTTTTTTTTGCTGGTAATAATTTTTTTTTCTAAAATGTATAGTTTGGTTTGGTTTATTTTACGGCATATCAACTTCAATGGCTTATTTAATGCCGACAAAATTTTTATTGCTGGTAATATTTTTTTCTTCAAAAACTTATTGCTGGTAATATTTTTTTACAAAGTATTTCTGGTATTAAAACCTATTTTTAAACTTTCATAGTGTTTTGAGTTAAATTGGGAGTCAACTATTTGCTAACAGGTGCTACCACCCCGAACACCAGCAATTAAGAGGTGGTTCTACTCTCCTCGAAACCTGATCAGAGGCCTTGCTATTGGGCGTAGTTTATTGTGTTACCAAGGACGCGGATGTAGTTTATCGTGTTACTCAGGACGCGTACGTAGTTTATCATCTTACCCAGGACGGAGATGTAGTTTATCGTCTAACACAGGATGCCCTGAACTTTGTTCCTTTATTATACTTTACTCACTTCTCCTCAGTAATGGCTTCTCATTCTCTTTCACTTTCTGCAACCTCGTGCGTCTTAGTGGCATTATCGCCTTGCTTGGTGTGAAATGATTTTTTTTAAAAAAAAAGAGAGGTAAAAAAAAACTGCCAAAATGTTTAAATCTATAGAACTCTTTCAATTGCAAGAATTCCATTAATACGATTTTACAGATTGCACAAATCCTTCAAGCAAAGAAACGACTGTCTTGCACAAGGCCGGGCAACGTTGCTAATATTCTATAAAAATAAGCAATAACTCTAATTGCTTTTTGGGATAGGCGGGGTTGCAACCTTGCAAATAACTGAGACATTTTCGCCGATTCCTGCCTTCAATTGGTCTAAATGGGAACAGTACTTGTTCGAATCATCTGTTTGATTCTCCAGAAGCACACTCAAACAATGGAGCTCTAATCCAAACCTGTCATAAACACAACATCAAATTATTTGAAAAGAATGAAATAAAGAGCTAGCAAAATGTTTAAACCTATCAAACAGTTTTCATTGTTATCAGTTTTGTTAATAAAGTATCTTTTTGGTTAAACCGTCCTACCATATCCGAAAAGAAACGATTCTATCGCACAAGGTCCGCCATTATTGTTAGGACGATATAAAAAATAAACAATACCTAACTTTACAATAATTTTTAAACAAAATAGATAAATCCTGATGTTTTCAATTCTGACGAATTCAACCTATCTCATGCCTTCCTCTTTATTTGGAAAGAATGAAATAAAAACGATGATTAAAAACCTAAAAAAAATCCTGCTGTAATCACGACAATTTTATTAAAACCGTTTTATGATTGACTCAAATAAACGACAGCATTGCAAATGGTCGTTGTTAGTTTGATATTAAAAATAAAAGATTCTTTTTAATTTTACAGTAATTTTGAAATAAAACAGGAACAAAAGATTAATGTT